ATTGGGCATCATGTTGGGAAGCATCAATTACTCTATGTAATTTTACACTTTTAATAACTTTTAGTTAGTTTGCCGAACACTTCTATACAAATAAAAACAATATCTTTCAGCTATTAGCAGCTAGTTAGTTTTACAAAACATTCTTAACTATTTAAAGAACAAATTACTGAAATGGTCACGCTTGGTCCATAACATTTCTTTTGCACTCGGACCGTCCCTATGGTTTAGTTTTATTGTGTTCTTTGTCCCTGCTTGATGTAAAAAGATTAATTTGCCTTTTTTTTTTAATTTTTTGATTTATTGTTTATTATGTTAATATATAATTAATAATATTGAAACAATATAAAGGAAATAAACCCTACACATCCCCTTTTTACCCCAGCCACGCTCTCCCATCTTGCTGATGATCGTTACCTCTTCTCCGGAGAGAGACCCCACCCTATCGGCGCATGCGAAGCAGAGAAAGAGATCCCTCGATGTGTTTCCAGGTTTGTCAATTGATGAACCTAGTTTTGTCGATGGGTTTGTAGGTTTCTCGATTTCGAAGAAAGGGATCTCTCATCTCGTCTCAAAGAAGAAGAGCTTCGTCAAATCAAACATGTGGAGATGATGTAACTTCATTGGGTTCAAGGTCGCCGACGATTAACACACTGATCGAGTATAATCTGGGGTCGTACATCTGTGAACAATATTTGTTTGCAGGTTAATTTCAAGATCCAGTTATACCTAAAAAGTAAAAGAATAAATCAAAGGTGAAATCAAGATGAAGACGAATCCAACATGCTGAAGGGTTGCTTCAGTCGGAGATGATAGAATGAGGGGAATGGGATTCGTGTGTGGTGTTTCTGGAACGGTAGGCAGCGACGTATGTGGCGTTTCTGGAAAAGAGAAAGCAATAGATGCTTTGTGGTCCAGTGGTTGTCATAGTACATGTATGACCTTTCTGTAACGAAGAATGAAAGTGGTAAAAAAGAAGGAGATCACCGACTGTTTTTTTATCACGGGTGGCAGTAGATGATTCTTTGGAGTACACAGTCGCAAACCGCTGGACATGAAGTGGTAGCATAGATGGATGTCGCCAGGGAGAGAGAAGATGTCAGTGGCGGTGTAGAAGGGTTGCCGGAGTGTGTCGATGGTGGTGTAGATTGGTTCGTCGGAGATGATATTGGTAGTTGCAAGAGGCTGCATGTAGATTCTTGGAAGAGAGATTGAGACGATGTGTGGGAGTGAAAGTTGGACTGGGTTCCACCAATTGATAAATGATTTAATTACTTTTTTATAAAATTATAAATAAAAAGCTAAAAAACTAAAAAAGGAAGATATAAAGGGAAAAAAAGTCATTTCATGTTGGTCAGGGTCGAAAATCGCAACCAAAACAAACTATAGGGACTGTTTGAGTGCGAAAAAAAGATAGAGACCAAACGTGAAATTTAAGCAAACCACATGGACGATTTCAGTAATTTGTTCCTATTTAAAATAAGGGTGAAAAAATATATTGATGGTACTAAACCAAATCGGTACAGTATCCTATATTTTAGTTCATTATTCGATTCTTACTTTTGTGCCATTTTAGTTTTGGTACTTTCGGTTCGATACCGGTTCGGTCTGGTTCTGTTACTTTTCTCGCTTCTAAATTTACAATGAACCTATTTTAACTGAACTGGAGCCGATATGGTACCCTATACTTTGGGTTGATATTTGATATTTTTTTTTCCATTTCGGTTCGGTTTAATTCCGATACCGAACTGACATCTAATTATATAACCCATACAATTACCAAAGTCAAGAAATGTAACTTCCATACGTTAAATATAAATATTTTGCCTAAATATAGGTATGGTTTCTTGCTTCAACATTTACGGTGTTTGTCTCAATAAAAAGTCAATGTTTCGAACCTCCCTTTTGAGTTTCTTTTATTTATTTTTTTTATTTTTTACGTATTTTTTTAACCTATAAAAAATCTTATACATGTCAGATAAATGACGGTCGTTGAAGTAAATACTACAAGTTCTCTCTCCTATCATCCTCTCCATATGCTGCGTTTTACCATCCTTCTCTAGATGTCTTTCCAACATTTCTGCATGAAAAGCAGATGCCATCCCATTTGCGTATTCTACGTTTTCCATCAACGTTAGGTATTGTTGCTAAAAATCTGCTAATTTAATATTTTTAATGGTTCGGTTTTCAAAAACTTGTACTTATCTGACACCGCATGCACTCCCGCCACATCAGTTAGGGTTCAAACCTAGTTTAAAACAATTATCCATATCGTATTTGTATCTTAAAAAGTAAAAGGGGTTAAGTGTCATTTTCACTATTTGGAGGGTACTAAATGTAACTAAACTAGAGTAACGCCGTAACGGTGCCCCTCTTTTGGTGCTCAAACCCTACTACAGAAATTGAACACAACCGCTACAGTACCTCACACATATCGTGCTCGGTCTTCTCCTTCATCCACTCAACTCCGCACGCAGTAAGCATTCTTCAATGATTCTCGTTCGAATTATATTACATTTATTGAGAAGTTATGACTATATATCACCAAGTTTATATTTTCATTCCAACATTTGATCGATGTGGTAAACTTGAATAGATCTTTGTGTTCGCAATTCGCTATTTCTAGAGGTTATGTAGAAACTTTCATTGTAATAGTTATCGTATACAAAATTAATCCCTTACCTTGTTTGTGTGGAGAATTACCTACAGAAACCCTCTATCCGCTAACGAATTTAAAGAGCTTGTTTCCGAATCTGAACTTCTCTTTTTAGGAAATCGATGAACTAATGTTATACGTTCGTAAAAGAGTACATTTTGATTGTTACAATCAAATGATCAATAGTTTTTTGGCTGTGACCAGTTCTTTTTCTTGTACCGATTAGTGCAAGAACTCATATCCTTTTAGGGTTTTTAACTAAGATATAACGAATTGGTAATTATTGCAATTTATATGCTTGGAAAAAGCGCATGCCTTTTTGTTGTTCTTGGAGAAAGGAAGAATAACGATTAGTGAGATGTACACTACACATAACCAATACTTGAATTTGATGGATTTGAGCGACTACTATATTTAATACATAATCTTCTTCAGTTCTTCCACTAAACATCTATGTACTTTCTAACATGTGTTTACAAGTTAATCAATCTTTAATTTATGAAGCTATATGTATTCATTGTGCTATATCTTTCCTGTCTCAGACTTTCATCCGGAGTGATTTCTCATAGTAGTTTCTGCTAATGGCTGGACAGAAGAACGACTATGGGAAAAAGTCCCATTATCAACCTGATTTCCATGGAAATGAAGGAGGCAACAGAACAGATGAGAGGGAATCACATGGTATTGGGCCAGAAGATACAGTGTATCGTTACTTATGCCCTAGTAGAAAAATCGGAAGCATAATTGGAAGAGGTGGAGAAATAGTAAAGCAATTAAGATTAGACACTCAAGCCAAGATTAGAATCAATGAATCCATTCCAGGTTGTGAAGAGCGTGTTGTCATCATCTACAGTTCAAGTGAAGAAACAAACAGTTTTGGAGATAACAATGATCTTGTTTCACCTGCACAGGATGCTCTGTTTAAGGTCCATGATAGAATTGTTGTTGAAGAAGATGAGTTTGATGAAAGTCAACAAATTACTGTGAGAATGCTTGTGCCTTCTGATCAAATTGGATGTGTGATTGGAAAAGGTGGACAAGTTATCCAAAACATACGTAGTGAAACACACGCTCAAATCCGTATTCTAAGCAATGAACATCTTCCAAATTGTGCATTGAATTCTGATGAACTTCTCCAGGTATATAAAGTTATAAACAATCTTTTTACTAAAATTCTTAAAAACTTTGTTGATTGTTCTAAAAGAGTTATGATATTGTAGATAAGTGGGGACACTACAGTTGTAAGGAAAGCTTTATATCAGTTAGCATCTCGCCTCCATGAAAATCCATCAAGATCTCAACATCTACTATTGTCATCACCGAGTCTTCATCGAGGAGGCTACATGGGCCCACATTCCGGGGCCCCACCCGTGGGTTTAGTCTCTTTAATGGGTCCTTATGGGAATAATGGGGGTGATTGGAGGGAATTCTCACTTCGTTTTGTTTGTCCAACTGATAACATTGGAGCTGTGATTGGAAAAGGTGGTGTGATTATTAAACAAATGAGGCAAGAATCTGGTGCTAACATTAAAGTTGATAGTTCTTCTGCTGAAGGAGATGATTGTCTCATAACTGTATCTGCAAAAGAGGTATTAATAATTTAATAGTTTTAACAAGATTTATGCTGTTGTGATCTTTTATTTATATACTTTTTTTTATTTTTTACAGGTGTTTGAAGATTCATCTCCAACAATTGATGCAGCTATGCGTTTGCAGCCTCGATGCAGTGAGAAAAGTGAAAAAGATTCTGGAGTTTTTGTCATCACTACTCGTTTGCTTGTTCCAAGTTCAAGAATCGGATGTTTAATTGGTAAAGGTGGAGCCATTATTTCTGAAATGAGAAATTTAACAAGAGCAAATATTCGTATTTTGAACACTGAAAATCTCCCCAAAGTTGCTTCTGAAGATGAAGAAATGGTCCAGGTTTTCTTCTTCTTCTTCTTCTTCTCTCTCACACACACACGCACACAGTTGATGATGGAGATGTTAATAATTGGTTTGTTTAGATAACTGGAGACATTAATGCTGCAAGTAGTGCGCTTTTACAAGTGACTACACGATTAAGAGCAAATGTGTTTGAAATGTCAATGGAAATGGCGGATGGATCAAGATATGGCAATTCCCGTGGACGTGGGAATTCGTCTCATTCCGGAAGATATGATCAGGATTTGCCACCGGGCGACGGTTATGGTGGGCCCCAGTCCCAGGTAAGAATTTAATGAACCCTATCCTTTTTTTTTGATTCTTTTAAGGTAAACCGGAATTGATGTTTTATTTTGTTAGGTTTCCGGGAGTGGTTATGGTGCTTACTCTGGACGCCCTGCTAGTGGCAGGTAAAAATTCATTTTGACATGACATGACATAACAGATGATGATGGTTTTGTACTGTGTTCGACTTGTATTTGACCGGTCAATGGAATATTATTTTAGATTATAATAATTAGTTTGATGTGATTAGGGCATCTAGTCCGAATCCCATTGCTCATGGAAAACATCATGGCTATTAAGTTTTTGGGTTCTTTTGCTTAAGGTATACATATTATTACATAACCAATTTTCATTCATTCATAATTCATATTTAGATTAAACATGTATTTAATTCTAATGATGTTTTTTTTTTTTGCTCTTTTTAATCGAAACAGCTGTGAACTGTGATGCCTGAAGGCTGGATATAAACGAGAAGAGAAGAAGGCGAGGGCATTATAGTACATTGTAATTATGTTTTCGTTAGAGAATATTTATCTGTCTTCTACTTAGATACCATAATATCTGAACTCCATGCTTATATAGACCATTTTGACCTTTATGTTTTTCGTGCTATAGGGGGATTTTTTTTATTTTTTTATTTTTGTTTGTAAATTTTATAACAGGAATCGTGGTTGTTTTCTATATTCAACACAATTAAAGATTTTGAAGAATTAGGGTTTGGAAAAAGGTATGGATTTCTCGTCTATCGTGGTTTTATTTTCTTGTTATCATTGGGAGAAATGTAAAAAGATCATGGGATATATTTATGTCCCAAACAAGAAGTATGATATTTGTTTATTATGGGCTTTTTGGGATAAATGAGTAAAACAATCTAAGAAAGATTAGTGGATTGTTTGGACCCCTCCACCTAGACCTGGCAATGGCAATGCATCTGGTTTGGAGCGGATCGACCTTGATCCAAACCCATTAATTAATTTTCAAATGTTGATCCAAATCCGACCCATAACCCTTAAAGTTTTGAATAATTAAACTATACCATTGTCCATTGGATCAATGAATTTTCAACCATTTTACCCAACCCATTCACAATAAGATTATGCTATAATTACAGAAAACAATGAAAAGATTAAACCCATGGATTAAAACTGAATAAAAAACAATAAGCAATCAATTTCATCAATTGATTATCGATTATCTATCAACAATGACTAAAACCGAAACCACAAGAAATCTAAGTCATGATTGCAGTAAGGCACAATTTAAATAAGTCCCCAAATTTTAAGTCACAATGTTGGCACAGTAACACAAGATTTCAGTAACCAGTAAGACAACAACAACCGATTTCAATAGGTTATGATTTTAATAAGTCGATTTCAATAACACACAATTGGAAAAGAGAAGTTGAGATTAATCAATTATATTAGAATTTTAGAAAACAAATTTGATTGTGGAATGTCAGAACACCCTTCTACGAAACGAGATAAGATTGAAGCATTTTCTTCTTGTTCTTGGTCATCAAATGTGACTGTACTAATTCACATATTTATTTGTAGTGGGAGTCGACTGGAATTTGACCATTAAGAACTAGGAACTGGAAGTGGAACGATCGAACTCCTCGAGTCCTATTGTATCGGTGATAAATGTATAACTTATAAATAATAAATTTATATTTTAAAATTTTAGACGGGACGGGTCATTAACGGATCAGATCGGTAGTGATCCATACCTGACCCTTTTAATAAAAGGGTTTACGGGTAAATGAACCATAAAATATGATCCAAACCAATTAACTTTGCACGAGTTTAGAGCGGATCAATATTAAAACCTGTTTCGTTGCCAGGTCTACCTCCACTCCTACTTTCCCGATTCGACTTAATAAGTTAGAGGGACTATCACTGTAACACCTGATTTTCACATTCCAATAAAATTCAATAAATCGAATCGTCCGTAAATCGTAAAAATAAGTGCTCCAAAACACACACACACACACACACACACACACACACACACATATA